CGTCATCTAAGGTGCTACGTTTGGCAGGAGTTTGGTTTTACGACTAAAATCTACCACAACCCGAACAACAAATAATCCCAAAGAGGAGACATATATGCGCTGAACTGTTCGACAAAATCTTTTGATCCAAATCCTTTCTCATAGAAAAATTCCAAACTTTTCTAGTTCGCAAGAGATTTTTTCTTACCTTGAAACACAGCTTTCTCCAGAAATTAAAAGTAAACTTTACCCTGGTTATTTTCTTGCTGTTCCTCCGGTTTTGTCTTCGGGCCCAGACAACATTTAGTTGCATCAACCAAATTACAGAATACGCCAACGCTTGATCTTAATTCGTCTTAAATTGAAATTATATGCAAATTTCCTTGCAAACAAAGATCATCGGTGGCGTCACGAAAAAGTACCAATTTAACACGACCACAGGCGGGAAAAAGGAAGCTACTCAAAGAAAATGTCTGTTTTTGTTGTCGATAGCTTCGACTCGTACGATGTCTGCAATTTTATTTTAGTGTATTTGTATTTTCGACTTTTTTAATCCCGTTTTTGTTTTGATAGGAACTCCGCAATGCTGGGACGCAATCTTGCAATAGTGACTGAAAATTTACTCGCAGCAAATTTAATTCAAATTTGCTCGAGGAAGTTGTCATGATCAGGTTTTCACTTTTCTCGTTTAAACTGAAAGCGGATTTTTGGCTTAAAATTTAACGTGGAATTCCCAGGTAATAATTTCTCGTTTTATCCGATCGGCTAAATACAGAATCCACCTATATTACTGAATATGTCAACTTTTAGCCTTTTAAATTAACTGGGCTTAAAATAAGATATTATGCAAAATCTGCAGCTTACTATCTGACTGCAAAAAGGATTTTTTATTTGACACTCGCACGTGGTAATTTGCATGTTGTGTTTGGGAAGTTTCCTTGTTTTGTTCGTTCAATTCATCCGGTTTGACTAAATGCTTTTTGGAGAATTGTTTTAAAGGTTTCTTTTTCCCATGGCGAGCAAATGATTAGTATTTTATGGGAGCTCTGCTAGCTTCTAGGCTTGACTAAATCTATAATCTTTTTTATTTTAATAAAAGAGTACCATTATTACTGCAAGAACACTACTTTGAAATCGTCTTTAACTGATCTTTTATTAAAACACGAGCCAATTCATCACATTGAAATTAGGACTGCAGTGTCAAAAGGCAAGTTGTCTGTCCATCACTCAGGGCGCAAGTACTGGTCAATCGGAAATAGTATTATTCTTTTCCTATGGTATCCAATCCAGTAATAATGATTTATTGTGTGAAAAGACTATAATAACCTGCGCGGAATGGAAAATCCTTTTTGGGTGGCTCAATAGCTGCACAGGATTCAAGATATTTAAAATAATATCATCCTTGTAGCCAAATACTTTATATTTTGCAGTATTCAGGATAGCGATGTTACATGTTCGACAGCTCACTTTCTTTTCCAAAAATCAAGGTAGAAATCCTTTAACAAATTGCTTTAAAAAGTAAAACCCTTGAAGCTTTTAGCAGAAAGTGGAAGTGGAATCTAGTCCAGTTCTTTCGATTTTTTATTGATCGCTGAATTACTTTTTTATTTTAATTTTGATTCTTGTTCCATATTTTTTGTTAATTTATGAACTCTTCCTTTTTACCTTTGCACATTTCATTTATTTATATATTGTCAATATAATCCTGTAACTTTGACATCGCTGATACCATGTATATATTGTTATATTGTAGCTAAAGTAAAAATTTTCTTAACAAGTGAGTGAAATAACGTAGGAAAGTAGTAAAAAAAAAAAAGAAAAACAATTATGTAATTAATAAAGCAACGCTGAAAAGAAAAATATATATCTCGAGAATTCCATAACTTAGACTGGGCGTTCCAATTTTTTTGCACAAAAATTTTACGTATTATAATGCTAAAATACTGTTAACAGTAATATTGTTTATTTTAATCTCTCACTGCTGTGCATCGATATCACAAAAGAAAGTGATTTTTTTTTATCGTGAACTGTAATCATTTCCTTTCTTAGTTTAGTTAATCATTTGTTTATTTATTTAGTCATTATTGTATTTATGTTTAAGTCATGTAGTTCTTTATAAGGGCCTTATTGACTTGTATATACGATTCTGGAAACTATCAAGAGTCACTCCCTGTAAACATGGAGAATCCGACGACAGGTCGGAAAATTCGGATTTTTTATTATTGCGTCAAAAAGACTCTTTTGGTGAAGTATTTTCAGAAATGTACTTTCAAAGTTCCAGCGACTTCACATTTTTGCGAAATCTAGGAAAGTTCGAAATACCGCTCAATCAACCAAGATGGCCGATGGAATTTATGCAAAATTGCACAGTTTCAACAGACCAGTACAGAAATAAGGGAACTTGCCTGGATTTCATATTCACACATTTTGTAATTTACACTTTGATCATTTCTCTGAGCTAAGAGTCATCTTGAAGTAAATATGTTTTGTCTACTTCTTGGCCGTTTGAAAAATACAACTATCGCAATTTAATTTACATGTAAAAT